CGTTAGCAAAGGCACTTGAGTCCAAAATGGCGGCGTGACTGTGCTACTCATCTACAGTACTTTGGCGAAGTTTGGATGACCGCCTTTCGCTTCTGTAATTTAAACATACCTGATGAAAGCCCTGCTATCTTTGCTACGTTTTCCCATGCGTTCTCTTTCGTATTATTATCTTTAAAGTCTGCATGGTTTATCGTAAAGTACCGGGAAACGTCTCACCGCCTCTTCAATTTTTTTGTCTAAGGAAGCCGCCATGTTTTTTGTCGAATTGTACTCGGAGGTCCTGAGAACAAGCATTGGACTGGTTTATTCTTCCGCTTTCGCTTCCGACTCCGACAATGCAGTTTTCACTAGATCGTAAGCGACGGAGTCATTAGTCATTGGGTGGAGCAGTCCTGGTTTGAGCACTTAGGGCAGGGTCATTGTATAGTGTTCTTGGGCTTGTTTGGACAAAAAATTTACTATGTTATTATTATGTAAACACAAGTTTCTAAGTCAAAACTTTATATAGTATTTGTAAATTGATGAAATTACACATTTAGCCTCTTTCGAATTGTGGTGTCTTCGTTCTAATATACTAAACAACTCGCTTCATAACAACAACATGTTTTTAATCGTTTGACCTCTCGAGACCACATGCTCCTACTACATATCCTATAATAATAAAAACAGTCACAATGAACATACAGGACACTACAGGAATCTGTTTGAATCTGTTTGCTAAATGGCAAATGAAACTTCTGTTTGAAGTTGCCACCAACCTACACTTTTGGTCAATGCACTGTAGAGGAACAGCAGCAAGCTTTGTTGTCTCCGCAGCCTTAATGATATGATCAATCACAATTGTTCCCTTGAGATAGGGTAGCTGTTCTTTGTGCTTAACCAGAATTCTGAGTAGTGCATAGTAGTTAATGCTAGTTAGCAGTCACAGTGCGTATCTCTACAAGATGCCTGTTAACACTTCCCCTGAACTTTACATAATTCAGGACAAAGCCATTTTCTGATCGTTTCTTTCCTGAGAAGTTCACTGTGAAATTGTTTCTTGCTATTACTTTGTAGCTCTTGCTATAGTATACTGTCCCATTGATTTGACATTGTTTAAAAGACCACACCTTCCCCCAACTTAGTACTTCTCTTCTTAAATGGTCACACGGTCCGCTCGGCTTGTGAGGGAGTCTCCGAGTTGTTGGAAATTTTCTCCATAGCTCCAATCACAAAGACCCCTGATGCAATCTCTTCAGTTTTCGACCTGGAACACCAATCATACAGAACAAAATAGGGATATATATCAAATTCTTGCTGGCTTGTAAGAGAAGGGGTCAGTCAAATAATCAAAAAAATATCAGGTGGCTATCTTGTGAGGCCTGAAAATTTAAATCAATTGCTGCCTCATCATTCATTTATTACTCTAAAACAAAGATTAGACATTATTAATGGAATTAAAAAAGGTCAAGGTATTCATATAAACCAACAAAAACCCAGTTTGGAGGCTTTTTGATCACCACCCTTTTCAGGTGATTGGCCAAGAAAAACTATCGGTATGGGAGCTTAATAAAACAAAAAAAAAAAAGGGAGAAGTATTATTGCTAAGCAAAAACAGCCCATTTAATGGCATACCATTACTGGGAGCAATACTTTAAAACCCAAATTTTATAAAAACATACTATTGAGCAACTACGATTTAATGAAATGATGTGAATATTTGAAAATACGAAGAACAAGTGTGTTATCAAGAGATGGATTAATTCCACATAACCACAAGCAATCATTTATCTATAATTTAAATCCTTCTTATATGAGTAGATTACATTGGGTTGCTATATGTTAAAAATTGTATGATAAATTACTTTGATAGTTTTGGAATGCCACCCTTTGAAGAGATTGTTAACCATGCCAACAAAAAAAAATTGATACTATTACATAAAAACAATCAAATTAAGAATTTAAGTACAACAACATTTGTTTATTTTTTATCGTACTTTTTAAATGAGAAATACAAAGGTGGAGCTGTTGATATCCACAAAATGATTGGTGTGATCTCAAAACCCCATAAAAGGTTGGGTATTACCTGGAAATAACTACACAGGCCTTTAAAATAATCTTGAGAAAAAAATTGAAATATGATCTAAAAACAGGAGAAGTTCTTGGAAATGACCCTCCAACAGGCAAAACAGATGCAATAGCAATGCAACACAACGTTGATTATTCTGTGTGTAAAGATGATGAAAAATGCAAAAAAAATAGCAGATATAAAAGTGATAAAAGGTTTATATGATTCACCTCATAATGAAAGACATTGGGGTCGTTGGTTGGCAAGAAATATGATCAACTCAAAACAAAAACCTGGACTTGGTGTTAAAATGTCAAAAATGGGAAAAGCAATTAAGAGATAGTATAAGTTGTCGACAACAATTTGCAGATTGATTACATCGACTGATTAAGCGGAAAGTTACTCAGCACGTGTTATTGTGAATCATATTGATGAAATATGGTAATCCGACATTGTTGAAATGCAACAGTTAAGTAAATGGAATAAGTACCAAAGATGTATTCTCATGGTTTTAGACATGTTCAGCGACTATGGATGAATTGTGTCATCGATTATTTCCAAATCTTTGTTACTGGTGTCAGTTCCACCATCTCCCATTATGGTGAAAAAGCGTGGCTGAGCATTATTCATTGTCTCCTTTTGATCCCGTTCATCACCTCAGCAATCGCTTCTGTAAACTCACGACATCTTTTGTCATTTAGATAAGTTTCTCCCAATGTAACACCATTCTTAACTTGAAGAATGCACAATTGATTGAAGTCTGAAAACGGTCTTCCGCTCTTAGCAATGTAATAGGTAGTATTAAACAACTTTTCAAGTTTATCTAGGTTCTTCTTATTAAGACTTCTAGTTCTAATATGTATTGGCGTTGCGTCTGGTACTTCTTTTGCTTTTTTCGCTTCTACACACCTCACATGTCGACGGCTTTGATCGTGGCCTTTGATATTGCCTAAATGAAAACTGTTATTTCCGCTCAAGAAAGAGCTAATCACGTTAAAAAGAAGCACTTGGATTAATCTTCCCGTTTGATTAATAATCATAATAATGCTAATAAATAATAATTTATCAAACTTCTAGTACGCTAACAATATGAAATTTTCATATGCGCATTACAGTATGTTTATACATCTAAACACAAGTTAAAAATAGTACATGTGAAACTAAAAATACGATAAAAATCAAATAATAATTACAATAACAGAATAAATTATTGATGTGGATTACGCTTGTGACTACTGGAGAAATCTCTGACAGTATTGCAAATGAACATGCTCCCATGAGAAAGAAACGAGTTCTTGAAAGAGATGTATGTTGCAGCCCCAACTTTGTCCTTACGATATGTGATAGCGTATAAACAAAATGCTAGGACAGCAACAAATAATTTCCCAGAGCCATATCGAGAACGTCTCGGCTCCATGATTGTTATATAATAGAGATTCTACCGATTAAATACAATGAGAGGCACAATGACGAGGCATTAATTCTTGGTTACCCACAAAGAAAGTAAAAGCCAGCTTTTTTCACACCTTATACAATGATGCTTTCTTTCCGTTAACTTAAATTTCTTCCCACAGCTTCCATCAGCACAGTGAGTACGTTCTAGAAGAGCAAACTCAAAAGGTTTTTCTTTAACGTTGTTTAAAATTGGTTTTCATTTACATTTTTCTGTTCGTGAGGTCAAGTCTTGATAAATAATAAGTAACCTACCAAATGAAGCATTTAAATATTCAAAAAATAATATGAAGATGAACGGTTTAAGGTTATAAAACAAGGATTTTTTTGATAAATTTGATGAATAATAATTACCAAAGAAAAATGTCTTACGATATCATCAATGATGAATATATCTCAGATGAAGATTATAAACATGCTAAAACTGTTTGGAATGGATTAAATCTTAAAATGAAAGGTGACTGTCATGATTTATATCTAAAATCAGACATCGTTCTTCTGGCTGATGTATTTGAAAACTTAAGAAAGACATGCATGCAATATTACAAATTAGATCCATGTCACTATTTCACTAATCCTGGTTTGTCTTAGGCTGCTATGTTAAAAATGACTGATATAAAACTTGAATTGATGACATTTTTTAGTTCATTAAAAAAGGAATGAGAGGTGGTATTTCATACATTGCTAACTGATATGGAAAAGCCAATAATAAATACATGAAAAATTATGAAGAGGGTATACCCTCAAAGTATATCATGTATCTAGACGCTAATAACCTTTATGGTTGGGCTATGAGTCAATATTTACCAACTGGGGGAATTTAAATGTATGACTGAAAAAAAGATTCACAAACTAGATCCTGCAAAATATACTAGCAACAATGAAAAAGGATTAATATTGGAGGTTGATCCTGAGTATCCTAATGAATTGCATGATATTCATAATGATTATCCATCGCTCCTGAAAAAGTAAAGTGACAAAAACATGTTAACAAATTATTGTGAGAAAATAAGAAGTAAATATAATTTAGCTATCGGACAAGTTGAAAAATTAAATCCAACCTTAAGGAAGAAAGAGAAACACGTCTACATTATAGAAATTTCCAATTATTTCTTGATTTAGGATTAAAAATAAGAGATTCATCGAGTATTAGAATTCAATTAGTCTCCATAGCTAAAACAGTACATAGATGTAGTAACCAATCCCCCTCTTAGCCCCAGTCCGCGCGGCTATCCGTTTCAGTTTGAATTCGCGCGGATCATGCAAATATAACGGTGTTAGCTCGAGTAGCAATCGCAAGTACGTTCTTATGCAGCCTTATTTCAAAATCCTCAGATAAATTGCTCTTTCGTCTAGTGTCCCGTGCTCCCTATGTTATTTCCAATCTTGTAATTAGTCGTTCCGTTCTTGATGTATTATGTTCGTAATACTTTACTTAGAAACCACTGGCAATGGGGTATATATAGGAGAGTTCGATCGTCTCATCAAAAATTAAACTCCTCTTAAATTTATTGCTGGTGCATTGGTCGCAATAGATTTCAATTTTGCAAAAGAACTAATGCTAAAAATCCAGTTGAAAAGACTTTTTGAAACTAATGAATAACTCAGTATTTGGTAAGACCATGGAAAATATAAGAAAGCGAACATGCCGGCCCAGTGAGAGTTAGTGTTTCTTTGATCTTATGAACTGCTATTGAATTTTCATTGAAGACTTCACTGCTCTCATGAGAATACACAACAATGTGTATTCTTGATCTTTCTAAGACCTTAATGTATGATTTTCTCTATAAGAGAAAAGAAAGGAAGCAAAAGGAATCAAGGAAAATGTTGTTAAAAAGAACATCAAACATAAAGACTATAAAAATGTATTATCAATTAACAAACAATTGTATCATGAAATGAAAACAATAAGAAGTCAAAATCATCAGATTGGAAGTTATGAAATGAAAAAAATATCATGCTTGCCAGTAAGTGTCATATTCTTTAAGACAGAACGACACATTATGCTTACGGTCAGTACAAAATCTGAAAAGATGTGATGTCATGACGCAGCTGTGGCCATGGTGGTGATGCTTTAACCTTTCTTTACTTTTTGAGTTATTAAATATTGGTTACATGGAGAAGATGTCATCTATCTTTATTTCAGGATTCCAAAAGTGTCTAGGTAAAATCAAACACACTTTAAATTTTAAAAAATATATAGTTTATATCAAAATTATGCATCTAGTATATGAAGCCAGTATATTAAGCTGGTAAATGAAACAAGTAAATGAATTCAGTATATGGAAAGTAGTATGAAGTTGGCTTGTTACGAGATCAGTTTTGAAAAACTGATTTGGTACCGCCAACTCCTTTTATACTGTGGCTCACATCTATCCTCGTACGTTTAGAGGCTGAAATGCCTTTGAGCCTTAAAAACATTTTAGTGGAATCATTTAATAGTATGACTAGTCGAAAGTGAAATTTCGATGCGACTGTTTACATCCCGGACACACTTATACAAATCTTAAACCAGCCCCGGCTCAGCACATTGTTTCGTTCTGCTATATGCAAACTACAGGTACAAAATACTACATTTTATAGCGTCTAAATCGCACAATAAGAGATTGTTTTCTTCTGTTTACTTGTTGTCTTTCCTTGCTTGTTTGGTATTTCTTTGTGTTGGTGCGCAACTAGGTACTCTTGTGAAATTGTGTCTTGCAGGCTGTCACAGTGATCAAAAGAAAGCCCAATGATTTGAAAGTGAAACCATATGTCAGTGGACTTTTAGAGCAACTGCAGTTGCAGGATGGCAATTGGAACAAGAAGGTAAAACATAAACTGATTTTATTGCTGTTATTTTCAATGAAGAAAAATTGAACGCAGACTTCGGTAGTGTGGGGTAATAAATACCGCTTTACTGTTAAAGATAATCAAATGATTTATCCTGCTCTCTTTTGTCGCGTTTATTTTCGTGTCATGGCTCACTGGTGTCGCCTACATTAACATTATTGCAATTTTGGAAACTTAAAGACCAAAAATATCTCACCACTGAACAAACGTCAAGTTCTTGTAGCATGTATCGTTCAAAGCTTTTTCATTTTGTGGATCTTTAAAAGAAAAGGGGTTTGAAAAGACAGTCAAAACATGTTTATTTTATGAACTCAACTTGTCAATGTTTGAAGTTGGTTCTTGTTGTAACGAAATTGATCAACATGTTTAAAACTTGAAGCTTTTCGAAGTATGAGTCACTTAGAAATACTCTTCTTCTCGTGTGGCTTTTCGGAAGCTGCTGTGTTTCTCATGTTAAAAGTGAATCGAACGAAGTGAAGCTGTTTTCTCGGGTTAGCTGGTTGTCGATGTTTCTAGTTAGGCTGATGTGCGCTGTTCTGTTTCATCTCCTTCTCCATAATCATCCAATGACTTGTTTCTGTGGACCGTTACTTTAAAATTGAACATCGCTTTAGACCAGCTGTCTTCAAAATCTCTAAAACAGTTTTCCAGTCGATGTGGTTGAGTGTTCAGTGAATCCTCTAGGGTCGTCCCTTTGATGACGGACTTCATCATGTGGTTGATTTGTTTACTCCTATGGGCTGCTGCCTTCACCAAACTTAACATACAAGACAGATAAAGTGGACCGGTTGTACGCATTTCGGGAGGACTACTCCTCTTTAAAAATTATGATGGGACACCTCTCGTCTCGAGAAGGAAGCTTCTACGCTTCGGGAACAGTCTGGACCGGCGTGTTTTTTTGGGGGTTATTGATGACTTTGACGTAGTGTTGTTTTCATCCAATCCAAAGGAGAAATCTTTAGCCGTCATAGAGTGGTGTTTCTGCCGACCTCGAAGACCGAAATATTGGGTCACGGACCACCAGTGTTTGGACGAGTGTTTACAGACTTCCCTTTCCCGGCTTCTTTTTTTCTCACTCTTAGTCAGGAATAATTGAGTGTTTGCACTCCTTTTCTGTGAGGTATCGGTCAATTTCAGGAACTACGACACGAAGGCTATTAGGCTTGTAATCTTCCCCGTCTTTTTTACGAACTTTTGTGTAAAACGCCTCGAGAATTTTATCAAGGGCCTCCAGTTCGTGCTTTTTGATACTTTTCTTATAGCCGTTTTTTGAAACCCCAGACTTTTAGCCAGTTGCTTTTACTTTGTTGAGTTTTCTTCATTATTCATCAAACTTTTGTTTTAAAACGTTACTTTCTCGTAATCTGTCCGCCGTTTTGTTTTACTCTCGCAACTCTCCTGTCAAGCGATTTGATTTCAACTTTCTGCTCTCAATTTCAACTTTATTTGCACTCATTTGTACCTTTTTGCACCGTTTGGGATCAATTGATGTGCTCTCAACTAATGTGCATACTGACGTTTTTGCATGCTTATTAATAGATGGTTTGATGTTTAATATGGGAAGATATTTTGCTCCTCTGCTTGCCGGTCATGTACAAGATTCAAGGCTCGATTGCAGAGTGTCCTAGGAATGACTAGTCTTGTTCCTCTCAAAAACCAGCATACCTAGCTCCGTCAACTTATTCCTTACTGCTTTGAAAACTGATTTACTAACAATCCAGTCACTGATGTGACCACACTTCTGCAACATTGAATTTTCCACATCCACAGCAGATGCTTTCTCAATTTTCGAATCGGTAAGATTGTTAGGGCTGCATTATCTGCAACATATCTAATGAATTCTTCTGCCATACTCACTTAATTGAGCGTGACCATATTCTGTGGACCCGGTAAATACCTGACAGTGATGTCATAGAGTCGAAGGTCAATCCCCACAGAGGGGTACAATTTACTTGAGTAGATCACTTCTAAAGGTTATAGTCAATTCAAGCTTAAAATGTTTCCACCTCACAGGCCAAACAAGCGCCAGTGCTTTCCTCTCTGTCGGGGGATATCTTCTTTCATCTGGTGTTAGACTTCGACTTGCACGATAACTTGCCTGAAAATGCCTGCATGCTCTTGAGCCAGAATAGCTCCTAATTCAATTGGACTACCATCAGCCATTGGGTCAATACCACGTGTAGACAGTGGGTATCCCATGAACTCTGCCTGTGAGATTTTGTACTTACACTTCTAAATATTCATGTAAAGCCTCTTGTTTTGCAATCGCCCGAACAACAGTTATGAATGATTTGACCTGTATTGAGACAAATTGACAAATGAAGACTTCTAGCTGCCGTCAGCTAAAGTATAATAAGGTACCAAAACGTTTACTCACCTTGCCAACGTGTAAAATGGTCGACAAACAAGAACTGATCTTGCCAACTTGCCAAGGGGCACGTCAAAGAACCATTTGGACTGAGAACTACCAAACCACAAACTGCAAAGTGCAAAACGAAAGTCAAAACACGTGTGATTCCTTAGGGAAAATTTCGTGTGACCGGTTATAAGGAAACCAGAAACGAAACGGTCGCCACAAGACTGTAATGCTCACTTTCCGGCTCTCACTTGGTGTAGAAGACATAGTATACGTCACACTATTGTTTTCATTGCTTTCGTATTCCCGGTTGTGATGAAACTTTATTGTGATGTATATTGTGTCTTCTACACCAAGTAAAAGCCTTTCCCTTGTGAAACTCGCGGGTGCACTTCATTATTCTTGTGATGTCAAAAATTTTGCCAGTGGTTTAATGTTTATGATTCAAGGTACTGAAGCAGCAGGAGAAGTTGCTTGAGTGTCAGCAGGAATGGATGTCAAAAATTTTACCACTAGATATGGATTTGGGTAGGACTGTTTGTTATGTTGTAATTATTGCCAATAGAGTCAAATGTTGTTCATAATCAGTTTTGCACGGAAAATGTTTCTTTTTAAAGCCCTTTGATAGTTGTGTTCGTCAAAATTGGCCATGATGGAACCTACCTAAAATAGGAAGCGCTGGCCCAAGCCATATTTTGATTTTTTGCATTGAAGAGGGTCAATCAGCTAGTCATTTGCTGTCCTTTGCACATTGCTGGACCGCTTATTTAGTAGGTATTTGAGAGATTGCTTCAGTGATTACCACATGGTGTAGACAGGCTGACAATGTATTAATTTGGCCGAGGGAAATTAGTTTGAGCGGCACAATTCAAGTTAAATTGAAAAACATTCACTGTCTCCTCCAGGACTTGCAAACTGGTATTATTAACGTAGCCCAAGATTGGAAAGCTGCAACTCGTTCCACCGCATGAAAGAAACGGTTCCCTCATGAGCTCAATTATGACAATTGTAGCTTAGGAAAAAACAAGACAACCAAAAACCAAATATTGTCTTCGTAACTTTAATCTGCAAGAACCACCTTATGCAGACTGCAAGGATTGGCTATAGTTTATTACTGTTATGATAGCTCAGGAAGGTAATTTTCCTACTTAAGCTCCAAGTGTTTGTCATTGCTCAGTCATCTCTTTTTTTCTCTCGTTTTGCTTGTTCTCTTCTGGTGATGTTTATTGCTTAAACAGTAACAGGAGAAAAAGAGAGTTGCTCAATTCTTTTCATTTTCAAGACATGAATGTGGGACTTGTAATGTAGAGTCAAGTGCTTACACCACTTGGCCATATTCCCCCTACATTAATTATTACTTTACATTACTACTACTACATTACTGTATCTTGCATTGTCTGATTTTAGTTGCAGATGCAGATATAGCAACATTCAGAGAAGAATGCGTTTCCTTAAGCAAATTCCAAACGCATGAAAGATACATGTATATGATGAAGAACGGTATGATAATAGATAAATAATCATGACAACATAGTGAAGTGGTACCATTCTATGGCTTTAACATTGGGATTCTGTTATCTTACTATGCCATTTCCAGCATTTGCGTATTTCCCTTGAGTGGTGAACAACAATTAACTGTCAGAGATGATTAAAAGCAACCTATAAACCACTTCATTTGTTTGTTAGCAATTTGAAATCTGCAAAACTTTTTGTTGAGTGTCACATCTATCTTTTTCGTATTGAATAGTTATTTTGCAGCGCAAGAGTGTAGAAAATCCTTCTTGGTCACTAAAGGAAGAATCCATTCTTTTGTGGAACACTCTTCTCGGTACGATTGAATGTGAGTGTAGCTGAAGCGTTGTTTCTGTGTCTTGAATACAATATGACTTTAACCATTATTCCTGACATGTGACACAAGTTTCATCATGTCATGTAATAACTAGTCCTTGTATAAACATTCTTGATGACTTGCACAATTTTTTGGAAACCACTGGAATAAGCAATTTAGAGGTTCACATTTAAGTTCTTGAATTATCAAATCTAAGGGCGAGCATGCGACACGAACGTACAAAGCTCATTAATATAACATTTCCCCTTTTTGGGATGAGATACAGCATCCAATCTTAGCAAAATGATAAATGAAATCTAATAACGTTTCAGAGGCCACCACAAAAAAAACTAAAGCAAATTTAAAACATGAGAAACTATAAGTCTTGTCTGTTCTCGGAACTAGTGTCCAAATGTTCAGAAAAGTTCAGTGCTGTCGTTTAGCTTGAGATAGGTTTTTAATAAGTCTCTTGAGCTTTGACCAGAAACAAGAAGATAGCGTTGTCTTCAAAGGAGTTTAAACTTTGGTCCTTGCTGGCTAACCCGAGGAGTGTTTGTCGTGCTGGGTTATATTAGCGTATTGGTACACGGTGGTGTTGAGCAAACCTTCGGCGTCTCTGGTGTTGCGTTCGAGGCAACATAGCAAATAGTGTACGGGATTTCAGGGGATTCCATTCAATCAGTATATGAGTTAAATATGTTAAAATTTGACGTTTTTTTTACGCCAGGAACTTGCATAGTCTTGCAAAAGTGTTTTAATACAAGTCACTCTGCTTTTATCAGAAATCCAACATCTAACATTCTTAGTCCGTCTTTTTAATGGAGGATATTAATGCATCACGCTTGACTTTATCTTTCCCATTCAAAATGAAACTATAAAGAGTAGCTTTAGCCTCTTTAATCAGATCCTAAGAAATCAGTTTAACAGCTGATTTATAAAAGATTTTAAGGATTTCAAATTTTTTAACTTTTTGAATTCTTCTTGATAATGAAAGGCCTCTCCATTTCCATGTATTTATAGATTTTGAGGATGTTATAAGCTTGTTAAACGTTTGTGAAGAGGGATAAAACATTATTTTCCTACCATTTATAGAGGGTGATTAATTGCTTTGAATCAGCAGTGAAATTTGTCGAAAACGTGGTACCGAGTTGGTGCCGAAAATTGACAGAACTGGGACTAAGGAATACTCCAAACTGTGCTAACCTAGCAGTGTATCTGCCGTTTGAGATGGGCAACGGTGGTTTCTAGCAGAGCCTATTCAGTGCCTGGTCCTAACAGTTTGTGACATATTGACGGCCATCACAGTTTGATTACGTTTGGTTTTGTTATACATAGTTGTATAGATGTTCTACAAACAACAGAAGAGAGACCGTTGAAGGTCTTTTTATACAGGGTGTTGAAAAGTATCGGTGGCCTTCTAGAATACGAACTGACCATGTAGGAGAAACGTGTTGGTGTTGGAACGCATGATTGCATTTCGAGGCCATGATCGTGGTTCTGCACTTCTAGAAACTTCCACTCCTAACCAGAGAATAAAGCATTTATGGCGAGACGTGTTTCGATAGTAAGTAGGTAAACTCTTTATTTAAAGAGTGTAGCTTAATAGCCAAAAGGGTAATAAACTTGTAGCCCTCATACAATACATACAATAATACTAAAACAAATATAGATATCAATAAGTAAAAATGAATACATTATAATAGAAATAGAAGAACAGCTAAAAAATAAAAATCCTATAATAAAATCTAAAATGAAGAAGATCTCAAGGATTAAATGACAGAGTCAGGAAACCATAAAAAGGAACTTATTAAACTATAAAATGATTCGAACTCTTGGTTTGCGAGAAAAAAATTTGTCTCAAGGCCTTTTTAAAACTTTGTACTGATGTCTTTTGTCGTAAGTTGATGGGTAAACTGTTCCATAGTTCACATGTGGTAACAATGAAAGTTTTACCACCATCTAATTTACGTTTAAACTTTGGGTATACCAAGTTATATTTTGCATACCTAGTATTACGAGAGCGAAGATCACTATTACGTGTTTAAAGGCAAGGAATATACTTAGGCGATTCTCCCCGTAGTCTCTTAAATGCGATTAGACATTTGAAAATTTTAGCCCCCTCGTAAAAAGGTAACCAAGTTAATGATCAAATAATCTGGCAGAAGAGGCCTTAGAATTAGCATCCATAATAAGTCTAGCTACACATTTCGGTTATTTCAGCACTCTACCTAACAGGTCGTTTTTACTATTGGTCCAAACAACAGCTACATAATTCAATACGGGTCTTATCATGCTTTCGCAATATAAACGTCGTTGCTTCATGGGAAAGTATACTCCGAATTTTCTTAATATGCCAATGCTTTGAGAAAATATTTTACAAACATTTTCTACATGAGAAGAGCAAGACAGTGCGCTATCAAGTTTTAAACCTAGCAAGTTGGCATTTGGGACATAATTATGTGAACTCATGCTGTTAAATAACACGTTTCTGTCCATCTTCGAGCTGAGAAGTCTGCCGGTATCAATTAACGTTTTCGTTTTGTCTATGTTACGAGGTAGCTTGTTGGTTATTGGCCCATTTGGTGACCCCAGATACAGATGTATTCAGCAAATCGTGGAACTTTGCGGTGTCTTTATAATTAGCAAATGATTTTAAATTGGTATCATCTGGAATAGATCTGTTTGAGAAAGTAAAACGTAGAAGTAAGTCGTTGATAAAAAGAATGAACAGCAACTGGCCCAGAATACTTCCCTGAGGGACGCCATGCTCCATCACAACAGATTCAGAGTCACTCCCATCAATAGAGACAACTTGTTGCCTATTCATTAAATCGGATTGGAACCACGATAACGGGGTATTAGCCACACCATAAGCCCCGAGCTTCATAAGCAGGATTTGATGCTCTACCATGTCGTAGGCCTTTCGATTATTTTTTTTAAATTTGAAATAGCGTGGAAATTGTTCACAATTCCCACAAGTTGTTGTTTGTTCACATCAGATGGTTACTACTAGGCTGGCTTGGCTTGCAAATAGCGAATAGCTAATCGCGGAAAGCCAGACAGTTGACAAATAATTTTACACAATTTTATACAATTAATATTCACATACAATTACAATTACAACATGTAGACATTAATCTTCGTGCTTACAAACACTAGGTATTAGGATAATATGTAAAGAGGAAAACTACAGACTAAACATAATTACAGTTAGTAATTAATCTTTCATCTTATTAATTAGAGTATCTATGTCGACATAGGAGTTTTCAGTTTCTAGAATTTCGATTAATTTTGTTCTAATGGATTTTTTAAAAGAGTTCTTGGATGAGTTTTTGAGACTAGTTGGTATCCAATTCCAGATTTTAAGGCCAACACGTGAAAAGGCCTTACTTTGAACATCAAGTGCAGATTTTTTAGTATAAAAATGCTCAAACGTTGATGTACGTGTGCTGTAAGAGTGAACGCTGGTAATTCTAGAGAACAAATTCGAAATATTAATCGGTGCAGAACTAGTTTTGATGTCGTACATTAAATTAGCAATTTTTTCATAATATTGGAATTCTAGCGGTAGAAGCTTTGCTTTCAAGAAAAGGGGTATTGCATGCTCCCTTACTGGAGCACAGTGAATAAGACGGAGTACACGTTTTTGAAGGACTAGAATATTATTTAACAAGATCTTAGATGCAGCTCCCCAAGAGGTTAATCCATACGTTATATAAGCTGCAATGAGGGACTTATAACTTCGCAATTAGACTCACAGTTTTTTACTTATTTTTGTTGTAAGAGTATGGATATGGTTTTTCCAACTTAGATTTTCATCAATCAATAACCCAAGATATTTGATGCAATTCTTACGTTCAAGGGTAACATTCTTAGTTTCTTCATTGTCAAAAATATTAACTTGTGACAGGTAATTAAGTCTTCTTCGGTATGGGCGGAAAATAACAAAGTTTGATTTATTTCTATTAAGTGTAAGTTTATTTGCGGTTAGCCAATTGAATAGGTTGTTCAATTCAATATTTACAATTAATTCATATGTCTTGAGATTTTCGTGAGAGTATAGGACATTAGTATCATCTGCAAAAAGAAAAAATTTAAGTTTCCTGGAGCAATACTGAATATCACCGACATATAGCAAAAAGAGGAGCGGCCCTAAAACGGACCCTTGGGGTACACCACAGCTAACTACTTCTTTATCCGAAATATGAGAGTTAATCTCAGTCGTTTGAGTACGATATATTAAATACGAGGAAAACCACTGATTGATAATTCCTCGAAAGCCGTAATAATTAAGTTTATCAAGTAATATTTTATGGTCCACCGTGTCAAAAGCTTTCTTAAGGTCGATGAACACCCCACAAGAAAAAAGTCTTTTATCCATATTGGTACGGATGGATTCCACCATGTCAAGTATAGCATGTTCAGTTGAATGTGCTTGGCGAAAACCATCTTGGGAGGAGGATACTAGTTGGTGTTTTTGTATGGAACTTTCATTCTGTTGTACATAATTTTCTTACAAATCCTGTTGAAGTTTTTCAGTAATGAAATCGGTCTATAATTGCAGGCATCTGTTTCATCATCAGCTTTGTAGACGGGTATAACTTTAAACATTATCAGTTTAGAGGGGTATGCCCCTAGACTGACAGACTTGTTGTGAAAATTTGCAAGGACAGGGGATATTATGTCGCAAGAGCGTTTAAGAAGTTGTGTAGGACAAGAATAAAGGCCAGATGACTTACCAATGAACAGCTTTTGGGCGGAACTCGTTTCATTTGTTTCTCTTTGTTTGAAGCGGCATGGATGATTTGGTGCAGCTGCAGGCCTCTTTTTTTCCCTTTTGAAAAGAAGGCTAAGAAGAAGGAACCGGGGTGGCAGTGGCGGGAAAAGATTCCCATCTCTATTCATGAGCGTTATGATCGGGGACTGGGTCCGTAATATAGCGTATTTAACTGGGGACGGGATGGAGAATTTGTTGAATGAAGATATTTTGAATGTCCGGGAACTTTCAAACACTTCACAAATTAAGGTATGTTATTAAATAACTAGGCATGGTAGAAGTTGAACAATCAATTTTGTAGATTAAAATTAAATATAGTTATTGAAGTTGAACAAATATTGTTGTTGAATGAAAATAATTTTGGTTGAATATAAAATAAAATGCTTAAAAAAAACTATAAATTGTGGAATAAAAATATATATTGTCGAATATAAATATAAGTTGCTGAATATAAATATGCAAGTTGTTGAATTTTGCAGCATTTGGCTAACCATACCAAAATGGGGTGCAGCATGTGGTTGAAGTGCAATTGTAATCCGTGCTGTGCCATCTCATCAATTACTCTCTCCTTGTTCAAACCCTTAGGCGCCTCATATCTCTTTCTCTCTCTATCTCTGTTCCAACAAAGTTTATTCCGTTTTCCGATCAAACTTTGGCTGGTCCCTCCCTCCTGTTACTATTCTTTGCATTGTCATAAGGTAAGCATCAGTTTCCAGGTTGTGGGTAATTTCTCTATGTAGAGCAGGTTTTTCCGTTTCGCTTCACGCTTTAAAATGCTTGATTCGAAATAAACCTCACTGGTATATGTAAAGAGGCGCATGGAATATCCAAGTCGCGGCTTCGATAAATCTGCCATTATAGATGGTTGAGGCTGCGCCCTTCTCCATCGGCAAGTGCGATACAATGTGTGCTTTAGACTGCCTAGACTTAGACTGCAAGTGTAAATCAAAATAGTAAACATCATGCAATTCTTGTCCCCATTTCTTGTATTGTTGATTTGTGAGAAGTAAATGCATGAAAGGATTTATGGTGGTAGAGTGCCATATAGGCATAGTCATAAGCAGCCATGTTTTAAAGCACTTTCCGCTTCAACTATCATTTTAGCGCTAGGATATATGCAACCTTCACAATATAATTATTGAGCATACCAACTTATAAATTCTTGATTTAAAGCACATGTGTATTCCATTTCTCGGCAGATCTAACCATGGTAATTCAAGATAGAGAGCCTTCGTTGCCATTTCCAAAAGGGATGTACCTTGCTTGCATTAGGAAAATTCAAGGTAACCAGGATTTTCAGAACTAATACATGTTTAAAGAGGGGGAATATGGAGTTAAGATTTAGGAGTATCTGGTATTTGGATACATACCCTGTAGCCAGCACTGGGTAGATAAATTATCAAGAATAGCTGCTTTCATTTCACAGCGTTTACTTGCGGACTTTATTAATGCCACTTGTTCTGCTGTGGATCATAGAAGAGCTGCTACTTGAAATATTCCACTGAATACCTAAGGTACTCTGCCATCTGTTGTTGCTTCACCGTGGAACTCTTAAAGGTCCTTTATGAATGAGAAGGAAGTCATTGAAAAAAAGAATTGTAGTCAATTTCCTCAATAAAAACTTTATTCAATACTCATAAAAAGGACCTATGTACAGTGTTTCACTTAAAAAGAATTAAATTTGTACCTTAACATCTGTTAGAAAGAAAAGAAAAAATCATAATGTCTCAATATCTCTTGAACTATAATCCACGAAAATGTTTCTCTACTAATTATTATTACTATTACTATTAGCAATCACTACCGATATTTAACATCTTTTCACTAATTCCTCTTTAAAATCTGCCAACAACGATAAAAACATGAAATAGTAGTAATAAATAAAATGCAATATTCAATATCTTTTCTCTAAATAAAAATCTAGCGTCCTAAAAGTCCTGCTAAAAAAAAAAAAAAAAAAAAATAATAATAATAATAATGATAATAATGAGGTGACGTCATAGGAAACTAAAATTTCGCCGTTCTTGATCTCGAAGCCT